ACTTTCGGTGAAGTAATGAATACAACAATTGAATTAATGACAAGAATTTAATTCTACGCAACGTTTTCAACGCCAATACAGACACACACTATATATATCTCAGCGTTTGGGACGACGGGGTCGGGTGGTGTGGGCGCCTAATAGCCTATCGATTGATTGACGCCATTAACCAATTTAGAGGTCACGACCCCGTCCTCCGTTATGGTCACCGTCTCCTTCCCGTTCTCCATCACTCTGTTTGGGGGCAAAAAAGTAACACATTTTTAGTCATTTTAATCAATTAACACAAATGGTTATCACTTAATAGGCAATCAAATGCTCTAAATATCTATTATTTACTTTAAAAAATCATTACATTTTATGATTTCATCGAAATGTCTAATGACATACAAAATAATGACTATATTTAGCGCTCAAGTCTTCTCCACAATAATAAACTAATCTATAAATCGATTACAGAAGTCATGAGTCAATTGCTACAGAAATCTAGAAATTTTCTCTAATCATTATAAAACACACAAACTTTTTTAAAACTCATTACCATTATTGCAGTACAACTAGCAATGCAATCGGAGTTTAATGATTTTTAGATTATAATAAAATGCAAAACTATTTTTCATATCCTCTATAAAAACCTCAATTAAAAAGTCTAAATTCAATGGTTTCCCAAAACAAATAGGTTTTCAATTTAAATCAATTTGCGTTAACAAACTGCGAGTCTATTCTAGTGCCTCAACATAGCCGTATGTTTTCATAAAAATTGTGTCAATTTTTGTTATCTCTGACACAAAGCAACGCATAAGTTGTAAACTATTATTAACTATTGTATGCCATGTATTATGTAATTTGCGATTAAAATTCAAACAAATACTGGTTTTTCAAAAACGAGATGACATTTCAATAGTTTATGTGTTAAGCAAATCTACGCTTGTTTTGACTGTCAATACAGGAAATCACTGGAAAAATACTATACAATGAAAAAAAATCAGTAAAAACCGCAAAATCAGTGCAAAATAAATAGCAAATTATGACTATTATCTTAAAACAGCATTTGAACGCATAAGTCATCGCAAAAACAAAACAAATTATAGCATAGAAACACAGCAAACATAGCAAAACATGATAGCCATCGGCGGTAACAGTGGACTCACTTTCTGGTCTCCACGCGTTTCCCATTCACGTATTTGGTGGAAGTGGTGGTGCGCTTGACGTTGGGTCTGTTGCCGAGATCATTAAAAGTGCTGAATGTGGTGAACGTCGACGACTGGTCGCCCCAGAGGTGATCATTCATGTGATCCATGGACCCTAAGCCGAACTGCGCGAACGGGTTGAACGCGAACTGCATATTGTTTTGCCGATTCATTGCCGACGTGTGGTTCGTGTGAGCGGAGGGTCGGCCGCCGCCAAAGAGGTCGCTAAACGGATCCGAACCGAAAAAGTCCCGAAACACGTCCTCCGGGTCTCTGAAGGTGAAGAACGCTTGGAACGGGTGTCCGGGAAAGTTGTTGGCGAACATGTCGGGCCCCGTGTGGTGGTGGTAGTGGTGGTGATGGCCGGCGCCGCCGTTCATGAGACCTTCCTTTCCGTATTTGTCATATATTTTGCGCTTTTTGTCTGCAATAAAATGAAGTCAATGAGTGATGCGGTCGTCAAACGAGTGGATCAGCTCTCATGAAGACATACCGTCGGATAGGACTTCGTAGGCTTCGGACAGCTCTTTGAAACGGCGGTCGGCCTCCTCTTTGCGGTCGGGGTTCTTGTCCGGGTGCCACTTGAGCGCCAGTTTCCGATATCTGTGCCCATCATCGGTGGTCAGCA